GGTGGAGGGGGGAGAATAAGGGGTGGTGGAGGGGGGAGAATAAGGGGGGGGGGCAAAAGGGAAGAAGTAGTGAGAGAAAATGCTCAGTTGGTTTGCATAAACTTAAGCAGTGATCAGGGACAATGGCACTTAGAAGGTTAGTCCTTTTTACTTTTTGTATACTCTTACAGTTTGAGGCATCACGGAAGATGCATTTACAATTTTAAAATCCAAGTTCTGTGCTGTAATTTCGGGCAGCAATGAGTTTTTAAAAATTGTTTACAGAGCATTCGATCAATCACACTATCCTTTGATAAATGAATGCACTGTTCCTAAAGAAAAGAGACAAAGGAAGAATAAGAAAATAAAAATAACAACCTGCAACGAAGAACATGTCTACATTAATTTTCTCATATTTCCTCCTCGATGTTCCATTGTCACAAGTATTATGCTAGATCTAACTATCATTTCAGTACAACAGGTGAAATAGATACTGAGTGCACTTTCGAATTTAACTGGTGCTTTCAATCAGCTTGAGACAGTTAACAGTAAACAAACATTGTAAATCAACACAAAACATCAAACAAAAGCCTCAAATGAAAGCCAGAGTGTTAGGAAACATCCCACACCCGAACCACAAACTTTTAACCAACTTTGAAAAGAAACAAACAAAATCATCAAGAGAGGCACATTAAAATTGTTTTGGGTGTCACAAATCAGTGTTATCTCACCCGTGCTGAAACAGTCCACACCACCTCTTTAACTGCCCAGCACTTTGTGACCTGCGTAGCACCTACCTACCTGCCTCCCCAGACATTGGAAATACTCTATACAGCGACAAAGTGCACCTGATTAAAACCTGCAAATTCTTTGCCATATCGACAGACCGAAGGGCTAGAACCCAAATGGCCGCTGGATCAGAAAAGTAAAGTAAGTAAAGTAAACAATCTCAGCCGTGCTTAAAAACAGAGCCAAGTCTCGGACCTAATAACCAAATAGCTACAAGAGCTGATAAAACACCTGCTTTACAAACTACTCGAAAAGTAAAAGTGTTGTTTTTGCTTACCATTGGTGGCTGTCAACACACGACCCCTCCCTGATTTCTCCACATTGTCTTTCCATTTCCAGTCTGTTTGCGTGAATTCTGTGACAAAGACAACTTCCCTCCCGTCAAAAGCAGTTCTTTTTTCAGTCGTTACTTTGAGTCTACGACTTCTGTGGAACAATAATACACACATATGAAATAAAAGACAAGTCAACACTTTAAGAATACTATTTGGGGAGAAATACAGAAAAGGAGGCTCAGTGTGCTGAAGATAACATAAAAGAATTCAGTTCAATGTGGTTAAAGGTAAGCGAACTTAATTGGGGGGTTTTTAAGTGCTAGGATTTTTACGATCCCATCAAGACAATTTAGATCATTTAGGAGGTGGGCTTCCAACCTTGCCTGCCAGGGTCAACCCAGGCAGAGAGGGTTACAACATGATCCCAGCAGTGAGACTGAGGTACTTGATTTAAATTTTCCCTAGTCCGGAATCGAACTCGGGTCTCCTGCGTGCGACAGCTAAGCGTCTAACCGATATATCGCAGATGCCAGTGCAGACTAGAGTAAGAGTTGGTGACTATGACACTCTCAAAGAGCGTGCTCCTTCAAGTTGGATTGTGAATAGCTAGTTAGGGATAGAGAAGGCTTGTGGCTTCATCAAAAGGGGGAAATATGTGAGGCAGCGCAGTGGAATCAGGCGCTCGTCAAAGTTTGGGCATGTGGAGTTATTGGTATCATCTTAAAGCTTGTTCATTTGTCTTTTTTTGGATGGAAAAAAAATATCCATTTATCTTGAATACAAGTCGAGATATCTTTAAAAGAAGGAGGTGGGGGTCACCTGGTTTCAGAGGTAAATTAGTGAGAAAATAGCCGCCAAAGATTAGTTATTTCCTTAACTTAAGAGTCCGTGGTAACTGAAAATTAATAATTTTTGTGCCTTTAATCAACGTTTTTCAGAAAAATCCACACAGAAATGAGTTCTTTATTGGGCATGAAAGGTGTTGAGCCAAAAAACAAAAATTTGATAAAAATTCACAAACCTGTGGAAAAAATGCAAGTTTCTACACTTTGATTTATTTTGACCAGAGCCTGATTCCACCACGCTGCCTCAAATATATTACTGTACTTGATTCTTCAGTAACAAGACTACGTCAAGCCAAGAACTAAACGATTCGGCACACACTAAATAGTTAAATCTGAGGGGAAATCATTCCTGCTTCAAAATGAAAACACTCAAACTGAGTGCCAAATCAAATATTTTCATTTATAGAATGACAGAAACCTTTTATTTTTAGCGACGGCAGCTTCAGGCTCTTCCTCATCCTCCTCAGTAGTCTTTGGATCTTTCGATTCAAGAGTCTCATCTTTTTCTTGAGCGTCATTTTGAGAAGCTAGATATAAAAAGAAAACGTGAATTCAAAAATCATAATTATTATACACTGTGTTTTGTGAACGAAACAGGTCAAAATTTAAACAACAAAACAAATTCATATAAGCATGCCATCTAAAATAAATGATTAATTATATTTGTAAAACTCAACTAAAAGTCACATAAATTGTGAACGGCTGTTCATGGGGCCATAAAGAACCCATTTCTAAAACAAAAAAGAAAGCTGAAAGAAGGTGCTGGAAATGAACTGGACAAGTTATGTTCAGACAACAGAAGAACATTGATGGTTCTTCAGAGCAAAGAGAACATGCGAGGAATTAACAAAAAACTTTTTGTTTATGAATTGGAGGAGGAAGAGGAAGGTGGGAGGAGGAGGAGAAAGAGGAGGGGGAGGAGGAGGAGGAGGAGGAGGAGGAGGAGGACAAGTTAGATATGAAAAGAAGGAAGATGACTAGAGATGAGAGGATAAAAGAGACGTAATGTTGAGAAGCACATAAATCCCTTGTCACAAATTCGTACTCACTATTTTAAGAATTGCTTCTGAAATATGTAGAGCTCTAAGTTCTCTTAATGTACATTGAAAGAAGAGATTAGGAACAGAAATATACTCAGGGGCCTTTGTAAAGCAGAACGGCTTGGCACGTTTCAAGTCACCATGATTTTCATCCCCTCCCCTCCCCCCCCCCCTTCTCTCTCTCTCTCTCTCTCTCTCTCTCTCTCTCTCTCTCTCTCTCTCTCTCTCTCTCTCTCTCTCTCTCTCTCACACACACACACACACACACACACACACACACACACACACACACACACACACGCACAAACCCACACTTACAACAAGAAGGACAAAAAGAAAGAAAAATATCATCACCAATAAGAAGAACAGGCAATGAAATAAAGAAAGAACCACATACGTAAATAATACACACACACACACACACACATATATATATAGTAGTGACATATAAACCCTGCCAACCGTGTGTGCTTCTGTCTATTATGCTGATAGCAATGTAATAGATGGCTGCTGTATAATTTGTAACAGTAACCCCTAGTGTCTAACAATAAAGATGCCTTGGGACACATTTAAGGCTTGCCTGCGACAGACAGAGGTGTTGTTTCCGTACACACAGATACAGGAGTACAAAATGGGCAATAAGTAAGTTAATCATTTGTTCTTGTTTGCTTTAGGAAGTGTTTTACGGCACTACTTGTAACACAATTAGGTCAGATAAGTGGCTTGCACTTTTCATGAACACTCAAGCTTTGGAAATCACCAAACTTTGGTCCCCATTTTCTCCATAATTTAAGCTCCGACACCAGGTGACCCTCACCTCCTTCAACCCCAATTAACAATCCAGACTTCTCTTTGAGATAGATGGGCATTTTTTTCGCCAAAAGCAAGACAAACAAACAAAAGCTTTAAGATGCTACCAATGTACGGGCCCCCGCCAGCACGCGGGCAGGGGAAGAGAGCGGTTAACTCCATATGCCCAAAAATTAACGAGCACCCAATCCCACTATGTCGTAACACAAGTGGTCCCATTCATGTGTTCAGTCAAAAACAAGTTCAAATGCTCCTAAAATATCATAAATATATCCAAACAATCCGCCACGAGAGCGACGATGTGATTAAATAACACACCTTTGTAAAATCATTCATGTAGTCAAATCATTCTCAACACACAAGACTAGAAATTACACATCAAAGGAAAATCGAAATGAAAAATGAGTAAAAACTTACCATCTACTGCACTTGGCTCAGGGTCACCTAACTCTGCTTTCACAGCCTCCTCATCTATATACGGCTCCAAGTGCTCATCATCTAACTGATGAATATCTTCTTCCTTCTGGACATCGTCTTGCAATTTGTCAGCATCGAGGTCGGTTAATTCCTCATCAGAGTCTGTGGTTTCTATAGCATACCCTTGTTCAGGGACGGCATCAGCATCATCGTCAAACGTTACTTCTTTCTCTGGTTCCACAGGAGAGTTCACTTTGCTTTTAGATTTCCTTTTGTCAGATTTCTGCGAAGCTGCCCTGGATGAAGCTCTGCTGTTTGATCTTTCTGACCGGGATGACCCTGATCCCCTGGATCCTCTCTTAGGTCGTACTGGGTCCATACTGTCTTCACGGTCAAGGCATTCAGACTCTCCTAAAAACTTGAATGCCCTGCTGTGAAGTTTTGTCCCTGGACATAGAGGAAGTAGTTTATCCATCATTAGTCATTTGTAAATCAAAATACAAGACAGAATTCAGCTTTTAAGAAAATCAATGTCATCAGGCAAAAAAAAACAATTCAGCTACAAACAACTCCAAGTTATTATGGCATGTTCATGCTAAGGTAAAGAAGTACAAGTATTGGAGTAATGTCGCTCAGAGATAGGGGAGGGACAAGTCAAGATTATGATGCGACTTTTGTCTATGTACAGTGGTGTCCACTTGACAGCAATACAGATAAGAGCAATCTTTGTCTAACAACAACCTCAGCATGAGTAAAGTAATTTTCCTTTACAAGTAACCCCCTTTAACAGCAGCCTTTTCATCTGGCAGTAACCTTCATTGCTACAAACTGTGAGACCAAAACATTTTTTGATGATTCAAAATCAGACACTGGCGTATAATTTCAGTGTATGCACAATACAGACACTGGCCTATAATTTCAGAGTATGCACAATACAGACACTGGCCTATAATTTCAGAGTATGCACAATACAGACACTGGCCTATAATTTCAGAGTATGCACAATACAGACACTGGCCTATAATTTCATAGTATGCACAATACAGACACTGGCCTATAATTTCAGTGTATGCACAATGCAGACACTGGCCTATAATTTCAGTGTATGCACAATGCAGACACTGGCCTATAATTTCAGAGTATGCACAATACAGACACTGGCCTATAATTTCAGTGCATGCACAATGCAAACATTGGCCTATAATTTCAGTGTATGCACAATACAGACACTGGCCTATAATTTCATAGTATGCACAATACAGACACTGGCCTATAATTTCAGAGTATGTACAATACAGACACTGGCCTATAATTTCAGTGCATGCACAATGCAGACATTGGCCTATAATTTCAGTGTATGCACAATACAGAAACTGGCCTATAATTTCAGTGTATGCACAATACAGACACTGGCCTATAATTTCAGTGTATGCACAATACAGACACTGGCCTATAATTTCAGTGTATGCCCATCCCTCCACTCTTATTTATATCTCCTAATTACAACCTCCTATTCTGCCTCACAATTCACAACCCCGACTACAGAAGCTACCAAGGGTCACGACATCCCTTTCAAGAGTCTACTGTCTGGTAGGGAAAAGTCTCCAACACTGTGTGTGGCATAACTGCCAATGCTCAAATAATATATGCTGCCTATGTACACACTTTCTGACATAACAACGTCACAACATCCAGGGGGTAGGGTTATCTTTGACGTTTACAGTTTCCTCCACTTTGACAATTCAGTTGGCAGCAATCTCCACCTAGCATTGCAAGACTTTCTTCTCAGAGGGGTTGCTGCTAGGCGGACACCAAGTATTATCAATCATAATAGTTCAGCTTTTTCACACAAGCTCAACAGTTTCAATTTATTTAAGATTTATATTAGCAATACCACAGCTTTTTTAAAGATGGGTAACTACTTAGAACCTTTAAACAACACAGGTACAAGGATCAATAATCCAGAAGTAAAATGCTTTTTACTTTTTCAAAATCTGCCCATAAATTTTAAAAAATTATGGCTGTGTACATGTCGGAAATTGTGGGTGTTTTGTAGAAAATTCCAATAGAGGAATAAAGAAGGGCAAACGCCACCAGAATATTGAAAACCTACATTATACAACATAACTTTTACATTTTTTGAATGGAATAAGCTAAAAATTGGTGAACTTATATTTTTGGGGCAACAAAAAAATGGAAGAATTAAATTTGTAATCTCAATATCTTGTTAATATATGTAAATAAATGATTAAATATGCATAAGCCTAATTATTCAAAAATATGCCAGTATAAATGTCTTAATAATAGACATACATGTCCGTTCTGTTACACTGGGATGTATACAAATCTGTGTTTGCAAAGAGAAGAATTTAAAAATGTGACAATTAAGGTTTTATATGTTTGACTGATTATGCACTCATTTGAATATGCGCATAATTAATTAACCAAATTGTAACCTGGAACCATAATGGCAGCATAGGGGACTGGTTCAGGACAATGGTCGGGGTGATGCAAGGCTATTTGCTCTCTCCCACTCTCTTCAACATCTTCCTAGAACGAATCATGACTGACACACTGGAAGACCACAATGGAACAATCAGTATTCGAGACAGGACAATCACAAACTTTCGTTTTGCCGATGACATCGATGGATTAGCAGGAGAAGAAAAGGAGCTCGCCACACTAGTGGAACGGCTGGACACAATCTCAGCGGCATACGGCATGGAGATCAGTGCCGAGAAAACCAAGCTAAGGACCAATAATACCAATGGCATCAACGCAGATATCAAAGTCAGTGGCGAGAAACTTGAGACCGTAAACAGCTTTAAATACCTTGGATCAATCGTCTCAGATGAAGGCTTAAGACCAGAAATTGCGCAAATAACAGCTGCGCTGTCAAAACTGAAGCCTATTTGGAATGACAGAAACATTTACGCTCAACTCGAAGATCAGACTAATGCGCTCACTAGTCATCTCAAAAACCTGCGCAATGTCACCATGATTTTCCGACTCTTCTTATTCGGAAAGGCGTGGAACCAACTAAATATTACCCAAACGTCCCCAAATTTGGTACCCATGGGCAATGCGAAAAAAGATTGATCTAGCCTCCGCGGATTTCTGTTTTTTTATCATCGAGCTGGAAACAAGAAAGTTACAAGGTGGTTTCTTTGTTTTCGAAAATGTGTGGTCTATTAAATCTGCAGAGGGTCTTGCATCATCTCAGACAGGCTGAACTTTAACTCATTCGCTACGTATTATTTTCGGTTTGTAGACGAATTTTTTTCGGGAGGGCGAATGAGATGATGACTAGTGGGCAGTTAATGGTCTTTGGGGCGACAAATTCAAATAAATATCAACATATTATATACCAATATTTTCAGTATGGATTGTAGAATACATCTGTAATGTTCATTTATGTATTTTTCAACTTTGGTTCCTGTAAGAGGCTATTATGCAACACAATTTTGATTGGACGCGGATAAAATTTGAAAATAAAAACTTTATAATCTTTGGTGAAACTAAAAAAATATGCTTGCACCTAGTCAAATGATATATATCAAAACAACCATAAATGAATATAAAACTGGAAAATATCGAAAAGTTTTCAGTTATTTACATACATTCCATAATATTTGTACATTTGGATCATAACATCCGATATTGAAAAAAAAATTTAAAAATTTATAATCTTGAAAAACGATCACAAACAGATGAAAACCCACTAATTGTATCTAATATGGAATTATTCAGAATTGCATTTGGAATAAACCTATACATATCTTGAGTGGCATCTTTTGGGTAATTTCATCAAAAAGTATTGATTTTGGGGAGAAAAACATATTTTGACAATTGAGATCTAGATTCTAGACCTAGATCTGGCACTCAAAAATATTGATTTCTAAATAACAGTGCATTGGCAAAATGAGTCCAATCGTATCAATATTATAAAATAGAGTCCTACACTTCTTTAGTGGGCAAAATAATGATAGATTTTGTTCTGTAAAATTACAAAGACTGGTGTCCGGGCTATAATTTTGGCATCGCGATAAAACAAAGTCGAATAAACTACGAAATCGCGTTTCAAAACTGAATCTAAACTTCCGATTTTCAGTGGAAATGCTTGACCCGGAAGTCAACATTATATTATGACCTTTATTTTAACATGGATATGCGGATTGGAAAAGAATCTAAGCTAAAATTGAAGATCGGTTCTCGAGCCGCCGGGGGCGGCTTAGCGTACTAACGGCACATTAGCCGCGCCGCCCCCCCACGGCTCGGCGTAGCGAATGAGTTAAAATGTTAGAAAACTATTTTGTGAAAGTATCCGTAAAACAATCACATTTTGAAAAAAATAACATTGACATTGACGTTGATCCTATTTTTCGCGTCGCCTGAAAGCGAGAAAAGGAAAAACTGTCGCACACGGGAAAAGCTTGCAGCGAGATGTGCAAGCTTGGCGCCATCTCACTGTGACGTCTCGGCAGCGTTAAAGCGTAGCCGCTGCATTGGACAGTTATTTTGATCGGCCTGAATACCACGGAAAACGTACACTGTACTCAAAGACACGGACGTTATGAAGGTTTCTTTCTATTTGCCGTCACGTTTGTCTAGATCTAGAAATCTAGATCTAGATATAGATCTAGACCTATTTCAGATTGGCACTTCTGCTCTGCCGGATGCTGGGTTTGTCCTCCAGAGCCAGAATATTATTAATGCTTCACTTAGACTTAATTCCTTCTTTGATTGAGCCTTGCACTTTCATTTCTGATAGACTCAATATTTAATTTTATCCTATCCCTGTTCTATGTTTTATATGAAATTATATATCTTCTACATAATCATAATGATAAATATTATTTATTATGACATTTAGATTAGATAATCTATCACGCAAACCCACGAGTTTCTTTTCTCTTTCGCTCCAATGAATCCATAGTAATAACAGAGTCTCTTCTTCCACATATCCACTGGGTCGAAATACGATAACCAGTGGTCTTATAAGTATGTACATTGTTTGCTCTGAACAAACTTTCCTCTCGCAAACACTTACCCCGATCAGTTGGTCAAGGAATATCCGCCATTTGTTTGGTTTGTTGATAGCGACGGTCATGTGATCAGAGACTCCAATTCCATTGGCCAATTTTTCCTCTTTCGGTTTTTGCGACTTTGATGGTGATCCCAAATACTCTCTGGTGATCCTGTGAGATGAAAAAAATAGTTTTAGTTATTTTTATAAACATAGACAATATGTACAAATATTTTTTGAGTTCACATGAATAATATTTTAATTTTGTCACACACAAAAGTTATTTTTACGACTCTTAGTTGTCACAAATACTAGCCTGATCATGTGACACTGTATGTGTGTCCAGTGCAGTAATCGTGACTTCCTTCACCTCAGGGAGGTTGAAGTTGAAGTTGAAGAGGAGGAACACTACAAGTAAGAGGTAAGGTGCAGGCTCAGTACTCAGTGAATGTAGTACCAAGTACTTTTAAATGCTGTTAACTTGTGCGAGTACAGATCGGTATCACACTGTTATAAAACTCACTATTGATGGTGGCAGTTTTGTTGATGAGTCTACTGAATAATAATGATCTGAAGAATGGAAAGCAATTAACAACTGACCAAAAGTTGCAGTAGACAAACTTCAATAGAAAATAAGCGAAGCTTGCACTTATCACCAACTGCTAGTTTTAGATGACATGGCATCATAAGGGGGGATTGTTGTTATCTAATCCATTTGTCCCTTCTTTACTGATCAATTTTTTGTTTGTTTTAAACTGCTGTTTACTTTTAAGTTCGATCCTGTTAACCTCTTTTGGAGGTCGCCATCTTACCTGTGATTGGAATGCTATAGATCTAGGCTTTTTCTTGGGTCTTCTCTTCTTCAACTTTTTTATTTCTCTATGTTGCTATTAATCTCTTTAGTTTAGTAAAGGGTTTAACGGCGCTCGCAACTGCATAAGGTCATATGAGCGCCAAGTTGTGGGTGTCAACAAAGAAGTCTTTACAGGGAATCAGACTTACTCTGCTCACCTCTCTAGCTTCAACAGCACAAAGTCTGCTTCGACTATCAAGGCACCCCGAAAATAGCAGGTCACAAGAGTGTGACAAACATACAAAAGAAGTAGAGGAAAATGAGAATAGTAAGGATTAGGAAAGGAAAAAACAACAGTTCCCTATTGTAGATCAGGCACAGTTATGAGCGTGACATGATGAATCAGCCCATTTACAATTTTACTGTGCATGAATGAGAAAAATGTCCCCCCTTTGGGAATGGCTTAAAGACACTATAGTCGGTGGCACTGCCGTACTTTGCACGTCTCTTCTTTATGTGTATAATATATTTGTTTTTTACTTTTCAGGTGCAACAAGAACGTACGTCAAAGGCGTCCCGAATTTCCGTCAGCATTGCGGCATCATGCACCAAAGTCTGAGCTGAAGAGTAAAGGTTTAAGACGAATTTTTGGCCGTCGTAAGCATGCGAGAATGGAGGGCCAAGGAGACTCAAATAAGAATCAGATACCTCAAGAATCTCCCTCAATACGAGTGACGGGCACTGATGGGGTCGCTTCTGGCTCTGGTGATTCAGCAGGTCAAGAACAGAAGTATGTGTTGGCCCTCGACGTTGGCACCACAACACTGAGAAGCCATGTTTATGACAAAGCAGGGCAAGTGAAAGGATCATCCTGGCGACCAGTAAGGGCAATAGTTTTAGTAGCCTTATACCCAGCGCACATTGCAAATTGGATTCATCAGATTTAGTCGGGGCCGGCCAGATTTCTTTATGGATGGGGCTAAAGCTACCATTTTAACAAATCACAACTGTTCAACACAATACAACTGAATTGAACTAAATTTGACTATGACTTTCAAATCAAACGAATTTTTTTCAAGATGATGAGTTAAATCAGTCATATAACACAAAGATGGTTTTTCGGGGGGATGAGTTAAATCAGTCGTATAACACGAGGATGGTTTTTCAAGGTGATGAGTTGAATCCGTCATATATTTTATAACACAAAGATGGAAGCTTTTGCCCCCTCCATGAAGAAAAATCAGGCGAACTCAATCTGATGAATCCGATCGACAATGTGCAGCGGGTATAATTTTCCATTTATTTAGATTCATTTGAATTATGCCAATTCCTCCTGTCTATCTTGACATTGGGCAAAACTCCCTCACTGGTGGGCTACCTGTCATAAGCCACTTTGTCTCTGGGGTGCCAGTTTGCTTGCCAGTCTAACGTGATACCGCATCTACCGTAAGTCCGCAGGTCAACCACTGTCTACAGTATAGTAGTGTTAATCCTGCCCTGATTGGCCATGGTAATGACAGCATTGGGGGCATTAAGATCAAAGACAGGAGGTTTACAATTATTTTACAGTGTGTGGGTGGGTGGATTGCTTGGTTTTGCAGAAGTAAAGAGATTGTGATTAACAAGTAAGTCGAGCAGCAAGTGACCAACTGGCAACCCCCTCTCTCCTCCTCGCCCACACACACAAACATGCACGCGCGCACACGTACACACACGTACACACACACACACTCACACACACACACATATACACACACACTCACTCACACACACACACACACACACACACACACACACACACACAACCTCTCCATCCCCACCTGACAAACTATCAAAGCATTTTTTTATATTGCCAATGACAGTCCCAAGCCTGTATGATGTCATGAGACAAGAAATACTGTAGTAGACTAAACCAGTTGTCAGAGTTTTCCGACGGTAGATCGGCAACTAACTCAGAAACATCGTGGTAGACCACCAACTAAACCGGCACTGTCTCTGGCCTCTACTTTTCCCCCACACCAACTTCTGTCCTGCTTTCTTTTTTCTTTTTTTTTTTCAGGTCTGTTATCATAAAGTTCAGTCTAACAATAGATTCCTCATTCCTGGAGTGTAGACTGGGGCTGCCTTTAAAAATATATATATTTCTGTCTTGTTAAACCCGTACAAAAGCAAACAGACCAATAATATATATGTGGAAAGAAACATTTTCACAGAAATGTTTCATGTCTGGTGTTTTGACAAGAGATCAAGTCCTCTTGTGTGCCTAGGATTAAAAAGCACTCAATACCCCCAATGCTGTTATTACCATGGCCAATCAGGGCAGGATTAACACTACCATACGGTAGACAGTGGTTGACCAACGGACTTACAGTAGAGGCAGTATCACGGTAGACTGGCAAGCGAAAAGAAACCTTTTTGATACCTTTTGGCATTGTAACGTTTGATTGTTTCTTTGCTGCTACAATGTATTTAAAAGGCTTTGAACCCTGACCTTATTGGGCTACCGTGCCCCTCTGCCTGCCTGAGCTCCTGAATGATTCAGTCACACTCATATCATCATTGGAATCACATTCCACACCACAGTCAGGGAAGTCCTCATCATTACCAGCTTCTAATCTAAAAAGACCTTGTGTGTGGTTGGCGGGTGCTCTGGTGTGGTTTGCTTCTTCTTTCCTATCAAATATCTATCGTCCTTACATAAATCTCCCCGCCTTCTTTTTTATGGTTGTTACTCTCTTGTAACACCTCTAATCTTCTGGCGCTCATATGACTGACCTTATGCAGTTGCGAGTGTCGTAAAACCTCTACTAAAATGAAAGAAAGACCTTCAAAGTAATCTATAATGTCCTGTGTAGTAAACATGTTTTTCTGTGCCAGTTTTGTCCTAGACGGGCGGAGCTGGGTGTCACTCACCGGTGTACTGGTGGCTAGGTATACAGGCAATTTCTCGCGCCACTGGTGTACCGGTGATTAGAACTCAAAGGGTTAAAAACTATTTCCTTAAAATGTGCAAGCTTGGGTGTTCTTTGGGGGGGGAGGGGGTGGAGTTTTGCTTTTGTATCCTTAATTAGGAACCCATTTATTATTTATCTCAATTTCAGCAAGAAATTCAGCAGCCTGAACCAGGATGGAGTGAAATGGACCCGAAGAAGTTGCTAGAAGATGTCTGTTTTGTTGTTACTGACAGCATTAAAGGTTGGTCCAATTAGTTGTCCTTTGCATACATTTAACAAATTTTCTTTGTAGCTGTTAAACCAAAAACAGTTTTGATCTGCATTTTCTGTTTGGCTTTTCCTAACATTGCAGTTTCTGTCTGTAAGTCAGAAGAACCCCCCCCCCCCTTAAATTCTTCCTCGGCACTTTATCTACGTGGTGGTTTATTTCTTATTGACCGAATCAATGCATATAGGGCCTATAGAACTTAAATTAGTAATTTTCTAAGTATTAAACTTTGTCAATATCAATATTGGAGTAAATACAAAATCTAAAAATTTATGTTGTGGTGATGATGTTGAACCATAATGAAAATGTTACGTTTTTAAAGATATTTGTGATTTATTGCTTTTGTCCTTTATATAATATGAATCAATTGAATGTTTATTAGGCATCAGGACACGGTGGAATCAGGTGCTTGACAATTTTTGGGCATGTGGAGTTATTGGTATTATTTTAAAGCTTGTTCATTTGTCTTTCTTTCAATGGAAAAAAATACACATCTGTCTTTCCGTGTCCCTAAATCTGGAATTCCTTTCCCCTCAAAATGGGTATCATAACTTTAGATTAGAGAGAGAGAGAGATTAAGAAATGTCTAAGGACATATTTGTTCAACACTATTCTCAGGGAGTAAATTTTGTGTATATGAGAATGTGTGTGGGTCTGGGAGTTGTATGTGTGTGAGTGTGTGTGTGAGAGTGAATGAGTGAAGTGGTCTCACAATGTACTTTTTTCAGGGTTTTTTATTCATCTGTAAAGTTAAGTGATAATTCTGCATTGCAAGGCGTTCAGAGTCATCTAGGGATTAAATGCTATATATAAATTCCTATTATTATATTATACGGTTGAACATGACCTAACAGCCTCCTGTCCAAGACAATCACAACAGATAAAGGACCACATTTTTGTTGTATTTGTTTTTTTGGGGGAATTTTTTTGTTTTAGTAAGGGGGGGGGTTGTGTAATATAATGACCTGATATAATAAGATCACCTGTCTAAGACAACCCTTTTTCTCCTCTACAATGGGTGGCCGTTTAGGACAATTTCGACAGTGTTTTCTCACTTTGATGTTTGCATGTTTTTCAGCCTCTGGGCTTGAGCCTCAACAGATATCCTGCATGGGTATCTCCACCATGAGGGGTACCTTCCTCACGTGGGACAGGTGGGTGGCAAGTTGTCAATGTCGCGCTCCGTAAACATGTTACCGTGGGTGCTTGGCGTGTGCTCTGGTGTGGTTTGCTCCTTCTTTCCTATGATCAAACACCTATCATCCTTATCGCGCCGCCTTCTTTTTTTTTGTGTTTTGCTACTTTCTTGTAACACTTCTAATCCTTGGCACTTATGTGAACCTAACTGTGTTTGCTAGTGCTGTAAAATGGCTACTTAAGTTAAAAATATGCTTGTTTTAGTTTCTTACTTAATTTAGCTGTCTACTGGACACATAGCATGCTTAGGACAGATGTTCATTTTGTTTTTCCTTTAATTAAGCTGCTCTCTACTATACACACAACATCTTTAAACAGCTTCAACTCAACGGCCAAAAAAGTCATAATATTTCTTACATTGGGCTTCTTGCAACTTTGATGAAATTAACCCTATCAGTATGTCGTGTTTTACTATCTAATCCATACGACGCCGGGAACTCTGTGCCATAACTTTCAAAGAAGGAATTTACCCGTTAATCCGATCCGCACGCTTTGCATAGCTGTCTGTCAAAATGATTTTTTTGAGAAATGCTGAAAGTTTCAAAGAGATCTTCTTATTAGAAGTATTCTAAAATGTGAAGAATACAAACTGGGGGGGTACAAAATGACCCCAGGGCTTACGGATAGGGTTCAAGTTCTTATGTCAAGGCTTTACTCATAGCTGCCACAAGAAAAGCTTTGCGTGCAAATGTCATTGAAGTTTATCTTTCCTTGCTCTTTCACTTTTGTCTTGTGAATTTCATTGTAGTTTGTCTTTTGTTTCCTCATCAGGAAGATAGAATAACCGTTCCACAATCTTATACCCTTGAAAGCTCGATGCCAACTCTCAAACTTTTTGCAGCTGCAAGAAACGGTTTCCATGTTAATAGCATTGAATTTCATCTTTCCCTGCTCTTTAACTTTTTGCGACAGCAAGAAAAGCATTCCCGGCGAATGTCTTTGAAATTCCTCTTTTCTAGTTCATTAACATTTTGCAGCTGCAAAAAAAGTTTGCCTTGTGAATATCACTGAATTTCATCCTTCCTTGCTCTTTAACTTTTTGCGACAGCAAGTAAAGTTTTCCTTAGGAATGTTGTCGTTGCATGCAGTTTTTTATCTCTTCTCTCTTGACCCAGGGAGACGGGGGAACCATTCCACAACCTGATCACCTGGCAGGACCTGAGGGCCTCGGACTACGTCTCCGTGTGGAACAAGTCGTTCACGTTGCGGGCGCTCAACACCGGGGCCAGCATTCTCCACACCCTGCTGCGCAAGAAGCGCCACCTGGCGGCCAGCGTGCTGCGGTTCATGTCCAAGCAAGTGACCATGCGGCTGCTGTGGGTCTTGGATAATGTTCCAAACGTAAGAGCGAGATAGTGGAATCATCATATCATCAGCTGTTTGATTTTAAATCAAATATATCGGTCTTTCTGCTGGGATTTTGTATACCTATCAGCTCGGGTTGGCCCTGACAGGTAGGATCAGAATCATGCTTCCTAAATGATATGAATTCTGTCATTGGGGGAATAAAAATTAACACTTACATAAAAAAGACTACCTACACCATATTAATTATGTCTGTTAAATGTCTGCTTGTTTGAAAATAAAACTTTTACAAATTATGTTCAAGTGTTTTCTCAAAAATCACATTGGCAGCCCAGATTGTAAATTATCATTTGAACTGATGCTGAGGTTTCCCTATTGATTTTTCTCAGATTCGAAAAAGAATAGCAGAAGGCAATGTGATGTTTGGCTGCACAGACACATGGTTGCTATGGAAACTGACCGGAGGCTCCTGTCACGCTACCGACTACTCGTGTGCCAGCGCTACAGGGTTGTTTGATCCATTCCAAGTTAGACGCTTTTTGTATTCTCGTCGCAGTTTGTCACAGCAATATCACTCACAGGGGGGGGGATTGATTTTGCTGTCTGCTTTCTTGTCTTGCTTGTTTAACTCATTTGTCTCGTTTGATTTTTTTTTTTCCCCTGCCCATCATTAGCAGCAACAGAATCAGCCCTCACAGCTTCATTTGATTGTTTGTCTCCTTATATGGTGATGTGGTGGGAACATGAACATTTGTGTCACAGCGCTGTGAAGTCGGGCTCTCATCAATTTTTGGGCATATAAATGGATTTATAGGTATCATCTTAAAGCCTGTTCATTTGCCTCACTTTTGATGAAAAAAAACAATCTATCTTGAATAAAAGTGGAGATATTTGTGATGGAAGGAGGTGGGGGTCGCCTGTTATAACACGTAAAACTAGTGAGAAAATGGCCAACAAAGTTGTTTGTTTTTTTACTTCCAAAACTTGAGTCCTTGGAAATGGAAAATTGACATTTTGTGCCTATAATCAACGTTTTTGAGTAAAGTCCCTACAGAAATGTGTTTTTTGATAGACGTTAAAGATGTTGAGCCGAAAAACAAAAAATGGATGAAATTGCCAAACCGGCAGAAAAATGCCAATTTCTTTCATTTCATTATTTTGACGAGCACCTGATTTCACCACGATGCCTCAAATTTGATGTTATAAACATCTCAAGTTGAAGTGTGTTCACCATCCTTATGCCATCAGGTTTTTTTAGATGCATAGCTATAAATATAAATAGCTTAACCAGAGTTTATTTATAGACAAAACAGCCAATGTTCTGCGAAAAGTTTCTTCTTCTCATTCATCTTTAAATGGAGATCCCGCGATCGGCTTGTTCCACGATAGCCGCTTTGCGCCCTCAATCTGGCTAGCAAATAGATCTGATCCCCAAATGGGCACCCCCCGTATTAGATTACATATCTTATTTTTGATGAGACTTTCTCTGCTGTTACTTTTAATTTGACTGCTGACAGTATTTCAGGCTGGTGGTTGGGGGGGCACCACCGATAGGTCCTACATCTTTTTTTGTTCGTTTTGTTATTTGTGTCTGCCTATATATTGCTTTTCCCCCTGCAATGTATAACCGTTATTGTTTTGATGTGCTTCTCTGTACTAAAACGAATAAACCAATACTTCATAGAAAAATAAATCCAGCCAAACAATTACCTTTGTGTAGTGTGCACAAAGTCCATTTTGAGCAATTTTCAGGGAGATCGGTTGTTCGATCCGTTCCAAGTTCGACGATTTTTGTATTGTATTCTCGTCACACTCTGTCAGAGCAATGTTGCATTTTTTGTTTTTGCTCTGTCAGCTTTCTCATCTTGCTTGTTCTAATTTGTCTCATTTAGTTTGGTTTTTTGCCTGCCCATCATTAGCAGCCCCAAAATTAGCTCTTTGGGTTTTTTTCAGTGATGTGTGTCATGACACGTTGGAATCGGGCACTCGTCAATTTCTCGTCGTTGTTATGACTGTTATAGATGGAATTTTTATTTGCTATGTTAGTCATGCACAATCTTGTTCGCTGTTTGTTTATAAATGTCAGTTTAAGTGCCCGACATCAGTAAGTTGACCTGTGGTTATCCTTTATCTTAAACCTGATACCATGTTTGCATAAAAATGATTTCAGACTTATTTAAATGTAAAATTTTCTTCTTTTTTATTTTTACTTCATGGACAGAAGGTCATATGTTAAGGCAACATTTCTTTCTTTCTCTTTTACCCCTCACTAAACAGATGGAATAGAAGAGCCTTTGGTAGTGTATAAAATTTCGTTCTTTTTTTTATCCTTCACTGTAAATGAGGACATAAAGCCTTTGGTTATGTAAACTTTCTTTCTTTTTTATCCTTCACTGTAAATGAGGACATAAAGCCTTTGGTAATGTAAAATTTCTTTCTTTTTTTATCCAACAGATGGAACAGAGTGATAATACATGGAACAGAGTGATAATGTAACATTGCTTTTTTTGCCATCTGCAAAGGGGTGGAATGGTGTCTTTGATTCGTAAACAGATGAAATAGTGTCTTTGATGTAAAGTTTCTTTTTTTTCCCCCCTTTTGTAAACAGATGAAAGAGTGTCAGATGTAAAATTTCTTTCTTTTTTTCCCTTTTCATAAACAGATGGAGTGGAGCACCATCGTGTGTGGCTTGGTGAACATTCCCATGTGTATCTTTCCAGAGATCAGAGACACAAGGTAATAGAAGTCATTTCCCCTTGTCTTTTTCTTCAATCGAGTAAATAATTCAATTTAATGCAGACATTTTAAGAACGCTCATATGACCTTATGCAGTTGCGAGCGCCGTAAATCTCTGACTTAAACAAACCATACAAGACGTTTTTACGCCCACATTGACAGTTTTAATCATTTAGGAGGTGGACTTCTGACCTCGCCCATCGGGGCCAACCCGGTCTGAGAGGCATACTTGATAAAAATTCTCCCCACTAGGAAATTGAACTTGGGTCTCCTGCATGTGATGGCGAATTGTCTGATCAGTACACTATAGGCACCAGTTGTTGTTGGGGTTTTTTTTTGGGGGGGGGGGGGGGGGCGTAAGTGTTTTACGGTGCTCACAACTGCATAAGGTCATATGAGCGCGCGGACACACCAAACATTTTCAATTGGTAGGAAATTTGGAATTTTGCACGGGTGAGGGCCGAAGCCTACTCTTATCGATTTAGGACCACCAAGGGATCTTTAACGTGCGCAACTTGGGACCTCCAAGATCTTTCATCCTTGTCCGAGAAGGCTAGGTGTAGATCTTTCCTACCAAAAGATCAGGGATGTGGCTGAAAGATAGCAGTAAGAAGGAGCCAAGGTGTAGCAGCAGAAAGGTTGCAGAAAGAGTCAGGAGCCCAGTGGAGGGGGCAAAGGAGGTGAGGGGGTGTGGGAAGAAAGTGGAGACGAAAGCAGATAACAGAATATTGCAAGAAAGAAGGAAAGAAGGTGAAAGACAATTTTAGAGAATAAAATTTTTCCGTCGCTACCCAGATTCAAACCTGGGACCTTTGAATGAGAGGCGAATACCTTAACCTCTTGGCCACGAAAGCCCCCCTACACCAGTTTAGTAAACTAAACACATAGATGAAGGGTCCAACATAATATTTTCAAACCTGCTCTAATGGCCACCCGTAGAAGACAACCATGTGCTCGTTTCCCCCTTTGTTTTTGTTTTTCCCTAACATGTGACACTGTACTTCCTGAGCAGTTCTCCTGACAAGTTGTCTTTAGGCCATTCCCAAAGGGGGGATATTAACTTGTTCTTATGCACAGTAGAATTGTAAATGGACTGATTTATCAATGTCATGCTCATATGGGGCCTGAACAACATAGGGGGAACTGCTGCTTTTTCTCTTCTCATCCTTACTATCTTCATTTTCCTCTACTTCTTCTGTATGTTTGTCACTCTCTTGTGAACTGCTATTTCCAGGGTGCCTTGATTGTCGAAGCAGACTTTGTGCTGTTGAGGGTAGAGAGGTGAGCAGAGTAAGCCTGATTCCCCGTTTGGACTTCTCTGCTAACATCCACCCCTTGGCATTCATATTATAACCTTGTACAGTTGCGAGCGCCGTAAAACATTACTAAAAGTAAAACAAACAAGACCTTAGAGAGAACAGATAGAACCACAGTGACAGAAACTCAAAGTGCTCGTAAAAGGACAAAAGTATATATGGGTTTAACACCCCTGTCAACACTATTATTAGGCTACTTAAAAGACCCGACCTCCTATTTTAATATCCTTCTCTGATGGGACTGAGCCAAATG